CAAGCCCGGCGGATCTACTGAGGTTGGAGCTTGAGACCAGCCTGGCCAACATGGTGAAACACCGTCTCCACTAAAATTACAAAACTTAGACAGACACAGTAGTGGGTGCCTGTAATTCCAGCTACTCAGGGGGCTGAGGCAGGAGAATCACTTGAACCCTGGAGGCAGATGTGGCAGTAAGCCTCAATTGCGCCATTGCGCCATTGCACTCCAGCCTGGGCAACAAGAGCAAACGCCATCTCAAAAAAAAAAAAAAAAAAAAAAAAAAAAAAAAAAGGCCTTAATGAGTTCTACAAGACTGCCAAATAGAAGATAAATTAATATAAATAATTTTAACTATACACTAGCAACAGTTAGAAAATGAAATTTTAGGTGGGGCATGGTGGCTCACGCCTGTAATCCCAGCACTTTGGGAGGCTGAGGCTGGTGGATCATGAGGTCAGGAGATGGAGACCATCCTGGCTAACACGGTGAAACCCCGTCTCTACTAAAAATACAAAAAATTAGCTGGGCGTCGTGGCAGGCGCCTGTAGTCCCAGCTACTCAGGAGGCTGAGGCAGGAGAATGGCGTGAACCCGGGAGGTGGAGCTTGCAGTGAGCCGAGATTGCGCCACTGCACTCCAGTCTGGGAGACACAGCGAGACTCCATCTCAAAAAAAAAAAAAAAAAAAAAAAAGAAAAGAAAATGAAATTTTAGAAAAGATACCATTTAAAAGAACAAAAAGTAATATACCTAGCAGTAAATCTAACAAGATTCATGCAATATCTTAATGTAGAAAATTATAAGCTTTGGATAAAAAACTTTAAAGAAGAAATATGTAAATGAATAAGTAAATGGAGAGATATACCATGGTCATGTGTAGAAAGACTTAATATCACAAAAGATACAAAATTTTCATAAATTAATCAATAGACTTCATACAAATCCAAATACCAAAAAAAGAGCATTTAACTTGGCAATGTGATTCTAAAATGTGTGAGAAAAGTCAAATACCAGCCAGGGCTGAACTAAAAAAGAAGCAGGCTGGATGATTTGCCCTTCCAGATGTTAAGGCTTATCATAGAACAATAGTAATTTGCAAATTGTGCTATTCATAGAGATAGTTAAACATCACAGTGGATAGAAAAGAGAATCCAGAAACAAGTTCTGCATATACAGAAATCTATATAGGACAGTGCATACAGTGCATATTATTGGGAAAATATGCCAGAAAATTTTTTACCCATATAGAAAAATAAAAATATGGATATGTTATGGACTGAATGTTTTTGTTCCTCCCAATTTATATGTTGAAGCTCTAATCCCCAGTGTGATTGTAACAGTATTTGGAAATGAAGCCTTTGGGAGGTAATTAGGTTTACATGAAGTCATGAGGGTGGGGCCCCCATCGTAGGATTAGTGTCCTTATAAGAAGAAGAGAAGAGACTAGAACCAGAGCTGTCTTCCTGTCTCCATCACATGAGAGCACAGTGAGAAGGTGCGCCAGGAAGAGAGCCTCACCAGGAATGGAATCTGCTGAAACTTGGTCTTGGATATCCCAGGCTCCAGAACTCTAAGAAATAAATATCTATTGTTTAAGCTGCCCAATTTATGGTATTATGTTATGGCAGCCCAAGCTGACTGATATATGATGCCTATATCATACTATATAAACATTTCCATTCTAGATGGATTAAAATCATAATTGGGGAAGACAAAACCTTAACACTTCTTATAGAAAGCATAGGAGAAATATCTTTCTGACATAGGATAGGGAAGTACTTCTTAAGTAGACACAAATGCGCTAATTTACAATGGAAAATACTGACACATTTTATTAAACTAAACATAACCTCTATTTATTAAAGACACCATAAAGTGAATAAAAAGACAGCTATAAACGGAGAGATGATGTTTGTAAAACACATAGCCAACAAGGGATTTGCATCCCGACTGCTTAAAGAGCCTATGTGAATCAACAAGGAAAGGAAAATACTAGAGTAAGTGCTGAACAAGAATTTTCACAAGAAAGAAAACATGAATGACCAATAAACATATCAAAAGATGGTCAAACCAGGCAACTGAAGAAATACCAATAATACATAATTTTACATACATGCACACACATACATTAATCAGTGTGGCAATTGCAAGAGTTGGAGAGAAAGTGGAACACTAGGGATTATTACATTTCAACAGTGGAAGGATCAATTTGTGATATGTGAAAATGACTGAAAAAGACTGTCATTATCTAGAAAAGTTGAACACATGTATACTTTACCTCTATCAGGGATACACCCTAGAGAAAGGATTGCATATGTGAACCAAAAGATGCGTACAAAAATCTCTGCAATATTATTCAGGATCACAGAAAAACTAATAACATCCTGAACATCATCAATACAAGAATGCTAATTTGTCATATATTAATATTAATACAATGGAATATTATATAGCAATGAAGATACATAAGCCACAGCTGCTCTACTTATTTCTATTATTAAATGCCATAATCAATGTTGACCAATGGAAAAAAACTAGTCAAAGAAGAGCTATAAAAGGCCAAAATACACAAAACCTAAACCCATATTGTCATATCTATATGCATATGTATTTTTAATATCATGATATAAGTAAAATTAAAGATAGTAGTTTTCTCTTGGCAGGACTGAACTGAGAGGGAATGTAATAGAGAACAATTTGAGGGTCAATAAAAGTACTGGTAATGTTCTAGTCTTCAACTAAATGGTGGGCTCAGTCCTGTTTATTTAATTATTCCTTCATTAATCCATATTATTACATTTACTATATTATATGCATTCTATATTATAAAAAGGGAACCATGGCAAATCTCAGATCTTTATGTTCAGTCTCTGTAAAAAAAAAAAAAAAAAAAAAGACAAAAAAAACCAACACAGTCCCAAATAACACTTTTAAAAATGGAACTTAAAAATATGGCAGACTATGAAATAGCCTGTAATTTCATTGACAGGACCTACCCTCTCCCGTGGCCATCCAAAGGCTTAGATCAATGCTCAGAAGATTTATTGTTTGCCTGAAGAAACAACTGAGAAATCTGAAGCCTGAGGGTTATTGGTTTTCCTCCTTGATAAATAATTTCACATTCTCCTTATGGAAATCCAGGATTTTCCAACAATGGAAAAGAAAACCTTACTCCCAAGAGAATGCTGAAATGGCAGTGATCTCAGGGCCAGAAGGTCTCTACCACCTGCCACTCCATATTCTTGTCCACAGGAACCTGTCCTAGGAGTCGTTCCCACCAGGGATCGTCAGCCTTATCCAGATTTGTATCAGCCACTGTGCAGTCAGTGTTGCTCTCACCACAAAGTCTCTAGAAGGCAACTCTCAGCAACATCCTCACTGAACTTTCTAATAATCTCTCCAGCTATTTTATGGAATCCATTTGTCAAAAAATGTAAGTTGATGTCTCATTAGATGGTGTGACCAACACCTCCCTACCATACCTGAGATAAGACATAAGTTCAAGGCACCTCACTGCAGCTGGCAGTGTCTCAGCTCCCATAACCAGAGAGACTTAGTAAATACCCCAGTGAGAGGGGTGATGCCTGAGCCATTGGTATCTTTGTATAAGCAGCCTTCCCATTTTGTTTCTTTAAACGTTCTCTCATGTTGCTTCCTGATTTTGTCATTTGGGATTTGGGAGACAATCCTTGCTTTCCCCAGCATCCATTGTTGGGTTTACATGTATTATTATCTTTTAAGATAAGGAGACCTATTCCTTCGCCAGTATCCCAAATCACCTTGGTTTCATCAGCTGCTATTCTCTGCACCTAATCCAGCTCCAACTCCTTTCTTTCCTCATCATTGTGATAAAAGCCAGCAGAATCCCATGCTACATTTTGTTTATTTGGATAGCAGCACAAAGCTGGCACTGGAACCTTGTGGCATGTGGAGAGAAGGTGTCCCACAGGGCAACCAAAGCATGGGTGAGTTCCTAGTTTATAAAAGTGGCTAAGAGGGTACTGGTGTAGCTATTTGGTCATTAGGCAGAGGTTAGTCTTTCACTAAATAGGCTCCAGACTCAAGCTGAATCAGTGTCTGAACTGAATAAGGATGGTGGTGCTTGGTCCCTCTGGATGCCATGGCAGAGAAAGAGAGCTACGCTGGCCTCAGAATATTTCATATCCAAGAAGAGGAACTAACAAAGTTATCTCAGGGAATTTGGACAGGTGAAAGAAACAAGTGGCCTTAAAATATCAGAGTTACCTAAAAATGTTCAATTTTGCTTTCTATTTCTGGAATGCCAATACATCTCAACAGGATAATGAAAAGGATGTAAATGGAGTAGAAATATCACCTCTGAAATCTTGTGTTTAAAATGTAGACATAGATGTATTGTACCACTACACAGCACCTTTGACTTCTCTTCTGAGCGCTAAATTTGATGTGACTGTCGACAGATTAGTTTTGCCATTATCTATAGTTTCTTTCCAGACTTCCCTCCTTGTAGCTTGGATTTTGTGAGTTTTACATTTAAAAATGTGGTTCCAACTCTTCTCAACCACTCCCACTTGTAGGGTTGAAGTTGAGGATCCAATCATGGGAAATGCTCTTGAGCCAACTTGAGAACACAGGTAAGTACCTACTGTTCTCAGAGTCAGGTAATGGTCTCTTAGCTGCAGACTATGATTAATAGAATGCCGGGTTGCATTTAGCACAAACAACCTGAAAAAACTCTAAAGAAAATGAGGTATGGAGGACAGATAACACCTGCGTCTCTTAGGGACTAGCTAAGAATCTGAAAGTAGAAAAGAGAGAAAGTTATTCTTTAATGTTTGCATGTAATAACACTTGGAAACTTCAAAATCAATGTTGTTAAAACCCTGTTTCTGAAAAGGTACAAGGAGGTTCTGAAATAATTGCTACATGCACACTGATATGAATTTTACACTTTGCCCTCAAGATAATGTGTAAGTAATCTGTTTTCCTGCTAACTAAGATGCCCCCCACCACCAAAATGAAGAAATGCTGGACTCACATTGGTGACATATTCGATATCCTTCCAAAGGATGCACTCCCTGGGGAAATCAGCCAAGTCTAAGAAGTGATCCACCACCACTTGGCCGATTAAGTCATGACGAGAGAACCTGTCAAAGTCGTACACAGAGAAGTGAAGCTTCCGTGCTTCAAGGTCATTGTAGGAAACCGGAAATAAAAACACTTCATCGAACACAGGGTTCAGGGTCTTTCTGTGAACTTTAGTCTGGTGTTTTGTTTTCCGATCAGGAAGCAAATAGATCTTGACATAAGGATCTGAAGTCCCAGAAAAGTCCTTGGCGGGCAAATTGACAGCTTTGTGAATCTTCACTATGAGCTGTTCTAAGTCACAGTCATATTTTAAAATGAAGTTCAGTTTCCCACAAGCCTTGCTGTTACTCTGTCTCCCGTCATCATTATCCAATGACCTCTGCTTATATAACTCTGGTTTAATTCTACCAATTCCAGTCAACTGTTCCTGTTTTTGAAGCTGCTGGATATTGAAGTCCGGGTTTGACAAGTTGAGTTGTCTTCGGATTGAATTATGCCTTCAATGAAGAGCAACACAGAACAAAGTTACAATCTTATTAGCTATGGGTCTCTTGGAAACTTTTGCCTGGGATGTAGGTAGACCGTTATGTTTTGTTAGGAGCTTAGAACTGTGGGCTTTTTTTTTTTTTTTTTTTTTTTTTGGCCTAAATTCAAAATGCTCATCAGTGTGAGTAAGCTGTTCCCTAAGGCTTGAAGCTCAAAACCGAGGGTTGGTATCAGGAAATGAACCTAGGAGCATGTGACCTCGGAGCTTTAAAGGTTTAATACACTTTCTAAACTGTCTAATATGCCATTAAAGAAGCTTATTCATCTGGTGGAATGTAAAGATTTGTACAAACTGCTTTAAAAATAAAATTATTCAACTTTATATATAATATCATTCCGAAATTGAAATAGCCAAGTGTTGCCTTAAGAAGAATGAATCTTTCTCTAAATTACACAGAATTTCTTGCCACAGGCTTATAGCTTTATAAGGATATAAATTCTTACTGGTTCAAATCAAATAATTTCATCACAAGAACACAGCTTTTGCTCATGCAAAAATGTATGTGACTGGGATGTGTCTGTATGTAGTGGCTCTGACAGGTACAAGTGGGATATGTCTGATTGTAGTGGCTCTGACAGGTACAAGTGACAGCATTGGGATTGTGTTTTTGCTGTACACACGGGTGATTAGTGATCAAGAGGACAGGTTTTATTTCTGAAATAAACACTAATGGCACAAAAATTAAAGATGAGCTACTATAAATGTATGTATGGATTCAACTGGAGACGTTGGATACTGTTACTTTTAAATTAAATATTTGCTACTGTAGTATACTCTTCACCCTGTAAGTGTATTGGTTTGGGTTAGAAGTTTCCCTAAAATTCTCTTTAAAGCCTGTCTGATCTGTGCATTTCTTCCCAAGTTGAGAGTAGTTATTACATACAAGGTTGTTTTTAAGGTTACTTTTGTTGTTTTTAGCTCAGTTTAGAGTCATTATATTGTATTGTATGCATTTAGTCAACAACCTTAATTAAAATAGCCTCTTTACTAGAAGGTGAAAGAGAACAGCTGGGATGTCTCTTAGGGATTGGTAAACAGTTGGAGAGGCAGAGTAAACATTTGAATTTGCCCTTCTCTTCCTTCCTTCAGACAATGAAATAAAGATGTAAATATGGAATCAAGGGACCCCCAGATATGTTTGAAAGTGTTCTCTCTTGTCACCACAGATATTGCTATGCTGAGCATTCCTCTTTATCCTAAAATAGCCTCCTAATCACTAATCACCCACATGTATGACAAGAGTAATGTCACAGAGCTGTCACTTGTACCTGTCACATCTATCACAGTCCATAGCAAGCAGACATAGCCCAGTCACATACATTCCCACATGTACAAAAACTGTGTGGTCCGAAAGTTGCTGATGGGAGATTTTAATCACTTACAGAGAAATCCACAATCTTAAGGTGTCTCTGTATTTTATGATTTGGATGGGTGAGGGAGGGAAGACAGGAGTTGCTGTTAAGCATCTAAAACTGGCTTTCTGCGCTAGTGCAGCCAGGTCATTCCCTTGTCCAGAAGTGGAACCAATGTAGTGCTAGAATAGAGCTTGAGTCTCACTTTACTGGACTCTGTGGGCAGAAAGGACTGGGAGGCAGCAGAAAGTAGCCTGCTATATGCAGAGGTTGGAATAGGCTGGTGCCAGCCCTATTTCCCTTTGCTATTGATTTTTCTTTACAGACTAGATTCAAAAAAGGGCCATAATTGGGTCCTGCATCAGTTCCCACCCTTCTAGGTACTGTCTGGTAAGTGGCACTGTTTACATCATAAAAGTGCATCCTCAATATCCACCGGATGCTCCTTTTACAGATGAGTCTGTGGAAGACCAACAATTCTGTGTCTACACAATCCAGTCCCAGACAACAATCTCGTGTCAGTCCTAGGCCCTGTCACTCTGCTGCTCTGCAGATGGTTGCTGGGCAGACTGTGTATTACAATTTACCTTTGAATTTTCTTAGTACTGGCATTAGATTAATCACAGCAACATTTTGTCTTCACCATTGTCTGTAGGACTAAATCTACCATAGTGGTGTTTTTTTGTTTTGTTTTGTTTTTTAGATGGAGTCTCACTGTTATCGACCAGAGTTGAAATGCAATGGCATGATCTCAGCTCACTGCAACCTCCACCTCCCAGGTTGAAGCGATTCTCCTGCCTCAGCCTTCTGAGTAGCTGGGATTACAGGCATGTGCCACCACACCCGGCTAATTTTGTATTTTTAGTAGAGACAGGGTCTCTCCATGTTGGTCAGGCTGGTCTTGAACTCCCAACCTCAGGTGATCCGCCCGCCTCGGCCTCCCAAAGCGCTGGGATTAAAGGCGTGAACCACTGTGCCCAGCCACCATACTTTCAATTTTGATTTAAAATACATGGATTTGGCTACTTAGTAGTGTGACATATTCTGTTCTACATGTACATTTTCTTAGACATGAAATCTGAAGATAAATTGTCCCACATGCTCAGCCCTTCCTAACCAAAGTGGATTGCCAACAGGGAGGCAGGGTTGTTGGTAAAGGTCAAAGACTGAAAAAAGATCCCATTCCCTGAGAACCCAATTGCACAGGAATACCTCCAAAAATTCCCAATATAGCTGACCTCTTAAAAACCAATCACAGGCTAGGTTCAGTGGCTCATGCCTGTAATCCCAGTACTTTGGGAGGCCAAGGTGGGCAGATCTGAGGTCAGGAGATTGAGACAATTCTGGCTAATGTGGTGAAACCCCGTCTCTGCTAAAAATACAAAAAAATTAGCCAGGCGTGGTGGCGGGCACCTGTAGTCCCAGCTACTCGGGAGGCTGAGGCAGGAGAATGGCGTGAACCTGGGAGGTGGAGCTTGCGGTGAGCAGAGATTGCGCCACTGCACTCCAGCCTGGGCCACAGAGTGAGATTCTGTCTCAAAAAACAAAACAAAAACAAAAACCAATCACAGTTATGGGCTAGGCGCAATGGCTCACACCTGTAATCCCAGCATTTTGGGAGGCTGAGGCAGGTGGATCACTTGAGGTCAGGAGTTCAAGACCAGACTGGCCAACATGGTAAAACCTTGTCTCTACTAAAGATACAAAAATTAGCCAGGCATAGTGGCACACACCTGTAGTCCCAGCTACTTGGGAGGCTGAGGCAGGAGAATCACTTAAACCCAGGTGGCAGAGGTTGCAGTGAGTGAAGACTGAGCCACTGCACTCCAGTCTGGGCAACAGAGAAAGACTCCGTCTCAAAAAAACTCAAAAACCAAAAACCAACCAACCAAACAAAAAACCAGTCACAGATATGAATACTATTATCTACTCAAACATTTTACATGATTAATTTCATTCCTAACACTTTCCCCTCCATTCAGAATCACACTTACTATTGGGAAATCAGTTGAATCTAACTGTAAGGTAGTGGCTTAAAGCAGATAGCAAAGACTGCAACTGGGCATGACAGGTTCTCACTCCTGGGGCTCCCTTTCAATCTCTTTCAATTTCCATTCAGAAGAAAGTTAGAGTTTACTGGAGTTGGGGGAGAGGCATGGTAGAAGAGAGAAGCTTAGAACAGCCAGAGAACCAAGGTAACTCATAATCTTCCCATATAACCTCTGGAGGTCTAGGGGCTGAAAATAAGAAAGTAGAGCAGGGAGACTGCCCCAGGGATGTAAAGGAGAAAAGGGGGTGGAGAAAATGGAAAATCAATATTCTATAGCTCTCATACGTTACTCAAACAGAGGTGGGAAGAAAAAGCAAGCCCAAAGCAAGAGGGAGGAAAGATACGGAATATAGTGCCATGACCTGAGCTTGCCCCACCCTAGGTGAGGTGGCTCTAAATGGTCAATGGAGGTGGTTTTGAGTGCAGTAAATGCGAGGCTCCCAGGACAAGGGTCTAGAATTTTAAAGCCATTGACTGATGGTTCCCCCCTCAGAAGAAGAGAGGGAGAAAGACCTCTGGCTGAGGAAATTTTTATGAAGGAGATGATACTTGAGCTGGGCTTGCCTGCTTAACTTGGCCTCATCCTTGGCCACCTCCAAGCTGATGCTGTAGATGTCAATATGGACATTAAATCTGTTTTCATCTTGGTCCCAGTTCTCTAGCAGAATGGTACTTTCAGCTCTTCTGCCCCAGTAGCTTTTTCCAGAGTCCCTCACATTCACCCACTGCATCTTTGAGTCCAGGCTCTGTAAGCCAGCACTCATATCCCCAACACCCTTTCCATTGCGGGCTTTCATGTGCAGCCATGAACAAGTGCATCCTAATATGTGTTCGTTCACTGCAGTGGCCCATCTCAGAGGTGAAACCTGACCTGTCCTTTCCCTGGTTCTCGGGCACCAGTGTCTACAAGGCTTCAGGATCCAGGGAGAAAAAAGAGAGAAGCAAATTGTGGTTTCAGAAATGTTACTGGTTTCTTTCCTGTGTTCAAGTCAAGGCAGGGAATTATGGAAAGAAACAGTGGAGACAGGATGTTTTTCTTCTTCAAAATTCCCCTGGTCATGAAGAAGAGAGGGTTGGGTTGTCCTGAACCACAGGCATACAGAAGAAGGGGAAATCCTGGATAGGGACAGACACAGTTAGTAGAATACAAGGGCTGGAGGAAGTGGAAATTTGAGGTTTTCTTGGCCTGAAGATTCAAGGATTTCCGCATGAGTGAGATAATGATGAGACAGGCATCAGGCCTTGGGGCCAGTGGAGGTGTGTTGTCAAGGGTAGGTGGATACACTGAAGCAAGACCTGCTTCCTCCCACTCCCTCCCAAGTTAAACAGATTTGAAACCTTGAATACTTTATCCTCCATAACTAAGATGAGCCTTTGTTCACCAAAACGTTCTCTACAGTAGCTCACGTCTTATGTCTCTTTTCATTACCATTGATCCCAGCTGAGTTCAGGCCCTCAGAGAGGCTCCTGTATATATCCAATCTTCACCACTGTCCCATGCATCTTATACACTTATACATTCTTTCCAGATTAATCTTCTAAAGAACAAATTGAGCACTTCAGTGTGTATAATTGGTGCTCTTGCTGTGGGTCTTTTGTGGGCAGGGTTGTATATATTTTCTCTCTTTATTGACACTACCTAATACTGAATTTTGCACATAGCAAATGCTTGATATCTTAGAGTAAATACAGAAATGCTATGGATATAATAGTTTCTGATAATTTAATCCCAGTAGAGAAAACACTCATTTACATATCATTTCAGGGTCTCATGGAAGTTGAGATAGGGATAGGCAACTTCCACTTTTGAAGCAGTTAGTTTCTTTAAATCTAAAGAAATAACTTCAGATTCAAAAATTATGTTTTAGATGTTTACATTGAACCAATGTTCTCACCACACAAAAATATAACTTAATAGAAATGTGCTACTCATAGTATAATTACAACATTTAATTTTTGTGTACTATTTACTTGAGTTGTGGCCAATCACGGGACCTAAATTTAGAGTGTGATGGTTATCTTCCTCTTTCAATTCTGTCAGCATATTTCTGTAACTCTATGGATTGCTTAATTCAGAGATAAGGTCAAAAATCTAATGTGGGGCTCTTAATGAATGTGAGACCTGGGACAAATGGCCTTCTGCCAGCCTCACACCATTATAGGCTCTGCTCAGTTTATACTTCTGGCCCTTTGCCATTCTTGTCAGAAGAGCAAGAGAAAAGTAGCCTGATATTGACCAATGTATTCTGTCAGTCATTCATGGAAAAAAGTCCTCCGTGCGCCAAGTGGTGCTAGGGGCTGGATAGACAGGAAGAAACAAAACAGATGTGGTCTCCGAGTTCACAGAACTCAGTCTAGAGGGGAGTACAAGCAATAAAGAATCACTTAAAATAATTTAATCCTGTGAATGAGGGAAAACAAGGCAATGCGAGGGAGAATTGAAGTGGGAAGGAGTGGGGACAGAACACAGGCTTCACATGGGGTGGCCGGGGAGACCTTTCTGAGAAGGTGATGTTTCAGCTAGGGCATTAGAGAAGTAAGGGACCCAAGAAGGACAGAAAAAAAAAAAAAAAAAAGAAAGAAAAGAAAAGCATTCCTGGCTGAGGGAACAACATGTGTCAAGACCTCAAGGCAGGAAGGGGCTTGGGATGCTGAAGGAACTAAGAGAGGAGCTAGTGCAGCTGCAGTACAACAAGCTTCTTCCACGCAGTCTCCTAGTGAGTTCATGTTAAAAGTGTCCCCTAGGGTCCTGCAACATGGTGGCCCTGGCCATAAGGTAAGGCTGTTGGAAGCAGACTGTGGCAGTATTATCATGCAGGGCCTTAACAGACCTGATAAGGGGTTTGTGGTGTGGTAATCGAAATTTTCGAAAAACCGAAGTGTTACATAAGAAATTTGAGAAAGCTTAAAAAAAACAGGATGAACTTTCATCTTAGGGCATGAATCAGGAAATGGATTAGATGGCCTTTCAAGGTTCCTTCTATTTTGGGGATCTAGGGATTTTCATACATTTGGAGTAGAGAACTTTATAAAGCTCTGGAATTAAAAAATTCCGAGAAAATTGAAATATCCACATTTCCAGCATATTGGATCACTAAACAAAAAGGATTTCATTCAAATAAAAAAGAATTGACAGGAATTTTGTATGGTATTAGAGTCACTGAAGTAACTAGACACAGAACATGCTTGATCTTGAAAGTCATTCTGACCAGAAACATTCTTAGAAGATAAAACAAAGCTCATCTTTAGGACATTTCAAAAAGGCACCGTGTCAGCCAAACATATCCAAGGACACATCCAAGCTGAAGAGGCCAGGTGAGGTTGAGATTTTTGATGTAAATGGTGTGACAGAAACTGTGCCAATCACAAGGATCCTGAAGACACCTTTAAATGGAGGCTATGTCTTACGTGCAATGGGAACCCTGAGACTGTGATAATGGCTGTCCTGAGACAGTGATAATGGCTGCAGGATGGAAGCAGTAAGAGAGTGTCGGCAGGGAGAAAGTAAAGAACATAATGAGAAAGAAAGGAGAAGAAACAGTAACTGGAAAAGCAGACTGTTTAGAGCTTTCTCAGCAAAGCTTACCTTTCCCCTCCCCAAATATGGGTATCAAAAATATTACTTAAAGAAGAATGTTAAAAACGATTTGAGGCATAAAGGAAATTTCATTCTCTTTTTCCTTTTTGTTAGCAAAAAGTGTGTATGTGTGTGTGCATTTTCTCATGATGCAACATAATCCCCAAAGAATTAGAAGACCATGTACTGCTCTTATTGTGGTGAGATCCTGAGACAAGGATATATATTTCTAGACAGACCCCATAAAACTAGGTCAGTAATTTAGGTATGAATGTTTTAAATGCATAAAAATGCAAATTGTCAGTATTAGGTCAAATGCAGTTAGAAAAGAGTAGTTTTCTTATAGTAGTTCAGATGTTCCTAAACTTGATTTTTGTCATCAGAAAAGATAATGTAATTGCATGCCTTCAAAACTAAAATAAATCTGAACACAAAGTGCACTTTACAGGGACAATTCCTTCACTCTTCCTTTTAATTTTTTTCTTTCTACCCAATTTCTACAAATCAGTAGTGATGATAAGAGTTTTTATTTTTTAAGCAAATACTTATTGATTTGCAGTATATTTATATACTTTTCCAGTATAAATATTGTGATAATTAGAGTGGCATCATTGCTATTAGTTTGTTAAAATTATGGCAGAGTCCTCAGATCAAATCTAAAAAGATCACAGTACTACCACCATATATTGGAGGAACTCAGACCAGAAAAGTTACATGCAGAGTAGAACCAAATAGGAGGCAATTTCGAAGGAAATTTCAATGGAGACTCTATCTAAAAGGCTCTAGCTATTGAAATACTGAAAGGATTTTATTATGAGTCTGCACATTGCATGAACTCTATGACAGCATCAAACAGAGCTCTAGTTATATTTAAGTTTTAAATCTGAAGATAAATCCTAGTGATAAAATCTGAGGATTTCTTCTAAATCAAATGGCAGACAACTACCCATCTCCTCACAGTGGAATATTTTAGATTTGGCTCTTTGATTCAGAATTGAAAATAATGCTAAAATAAGTTTCTGAAACAATCAAATTATAAACTGACATATTCCATCCCACTTAATGAAAATGAGTGGAGCCTCTAGGATAAACTCGATTAACATAAAAAGGGTAAAGTCTTATTTCTGTTTCTGGAGAACAAACAATAAAGATTTTAAAAAAATACCTCCAAATTGTGTTTTATACTTTACAAATAACAGCACATGCTATTTCTCTGGCCATCACTCAGGCCAATATTTTCATTCTACAGAAAGCTGCTTCCTGAGTCTCTTTTCCTGAAATATCTTATTGAAAATGAGTTTTTATATCCAGTGATTTAGAACTGGTTGTTTAGCCTCAAACACACTTTTGTGCAATGTCTGAGCCTTGGGAGAGGCCATAATAGCAATACTAACAGCAAAATGGTAGCTCACATTTTGGAGCTTTTACTAGGTGCCAGACCTGTGCAAGCACATGTTATCATTTCATTCTTAAAACCACCTACAAATCAGTAGTATCTATTCCTCTTTTGAAGAAGAGGAAATGGACAGATATGGAGTTTAAGTAATTTGTTCAATGTCACACATGTAAGTAAAGCCAATTCATTTGACTTGAGAGACCGCATCTTTTTTCACTGCATTATATTATTTCTCTACTGCTGAAGAGCATAAAGCATCCAGACAATAAAAAGAGAGTGACCTAGGTGTTGGTACTCTGTAAGCCTTCCAAAGGCTGAAGATGGACAAAAACCTCCAGCCACACGGTGGAGTCTGAAGAGAGCCTGTGTGTGACTGTTAGGATAGGTCAGACGCACAGGGAATAAATTTTAAAGCAGTAGGAGGGCAGCAGGGAAGAGTGGTTAAGAGTTCAGATTCTTGTGTTGGTTGAACCAGGGTTCAAATCCTGACCTGGGTATTTACATATATGGCTTTTAAAAAAATGTAATCTCCTTAAGTTTCTTCTGCTGTAAAATAAAAATGATATTAGTATACATTTCATGCTAAATTGTGAGCTATAACAAAATATGAATATAAAGTTCTTCCAGAGTACTTCACACATGCTGTCTTAATAATGTTAACTATTATTTTTATAAACTAAGTAGAGACCAAGAAGGGCTCAGGAACCTAACTTCAACGTTAGGTTAGCATGGAGTTTTCCATATTCATGTCTCTGATACAGAACAGAAATCTAAAAGGTTATAGACTCCTTGACCAATCAGTGCTATTTTTGCCAGAGAGGGGAATGGGGTGGTCCTTCCTTGCATTCAGAAAGGAGGAGGCATTACTGACCGAGCCGAGGAGGTTGGCTCTGTGACTTGGCGCTGCACGCGGACGCCATGGGCACAGTTCTCCTGGACTCCCGTCTGGGCGGAGAGGGGAATGTCAGGGGAGGTGTGGCTGATCTTCATGGAGGAGTCAGGGCAGGGTGTGGGAGGGTCTAGGAAGTCCTCACTGTTCTCCTGCTCATTGGTCTCTGTGTCCGTGTAGTTAAGAGGCTCCTGGTTGTTGTCTTTGCTACCAGAGGGCAGGCCTCGTTCTCGCCACGGAACCCAGCAGAGTTTCCAAGATACGAAGAGAGACACGCCAAACAGAGCAAGACCACAGGCAGTGACCACAAGGGTCAGCAGGCTCACTGAGATATCTGCAAAGAAGCAAAGATCAAAAGTCAGTGTGATCATTCCCCGCAAGTCCACCCATTGCATAGTATGGGCAGAATGACCCTCTCATCCACTCATCCCTTGGGAGCCGACTGTGGAAGGTCATGCTGGGGCGCACAGCCAGGTTACTTAATTCTGGGGCAGTGGCGATGAGAATTCATACACAAACCAGAGGACCAGTGAGCAGAAACACAGAGGAGGTACCATAGCATGCAGGTCATGTTTAGAAACAATAAACAGCCTGCTATGGCAAGAAAATGGATACATTCATGGAGACTAGAATGCCCTTCAAGTGAAATGATACTCTATCCTACAGGCAGCACCAATCATTAATGTTTTTTGAGCAGGGCAGTTTCAAATGTCCTTAAAAATTATTCTGTCATCTCAGAGAGCTGTATAATGTAACTGGGGAATTGTGTAAGTCATAATTTTTTAAAATAAGAGAAACTAGAGGGATTTTTCGGGTTCTATTTTTCCTATTAACTTTTACGGTTCTAAGCAAAATGAAGCTCAAATCTTCTGTGAATTTTGCAGCTTCAAGAATAACCCCCACTCAGTGGTAACTCCTCAGGACTCAGGATAGAATATTATAGTTTGGGTTTCCCCAGTAGTATACCCTAAAACAAGTATTCAAGGGCAAAGCATTATTTAGAAGGAGAAGGAAACACAGGAGAAGTGATCCAGAAAAGGAAGTCAACAAAAGGTACACTGTCAAGTCAGTTCCCATAGTGAGGGAGTAAAGGTTAAGTCTGCTAGGGAGGTTTAATACACCTCAGATACACCTCACCCAAGTGGCAAGGGATCCGAGGTATTACACATTAGCTCTCTTTAGTTATTAATTGGAGGGCATTTCCCAAAGGGCATTAAATTCCCATCATTTGACACCTGCCCGGATGAACAAAGTAAGCTTCAGTGGCCAGGAAAATCCCACATTGAAATCAATGCAGAGGCTGCACTGGAGGTCAACAGGCACACAATGAAGTGGTAAGGGGACACGGCAGGTAATGACAGCATCTGCTACATGGATCATGGACCACAGCCCCACGGTGTCAGCAAGTCTTGGCAGTTCAGTATCCAGTGACTGTGCCCCTAAGGTTTAAAACAGTTCACCCCCTCCAGGCTTCTGCCCCAAGCTACAGTAGAGCCAGGAGGCTGAGCATCAGTCTGAAAGCATTTCTGGCACTATGGTAGCCATAAAATCCTTATTTTTTAAAGGACAACCCTGCCTGTCATTACGGTGCTTCATTACACCTGGAGCCCCATGGATTCTCCCCAGGGTTTGCCTCTACTGCCCATCATTAATATTTGCATTGCTGCAACCAAAGTTTTCTGAATGCCTACTACATGCCAAGTGCCACGCTAAGCTCTGGAGATACAATGAGGAATATGATAGGCGCACGCTATGTCTTCATGTATCCATATTCTAATGAAGGAGAAAATTAGAAATTGGTCATTTAGTACTCACAATTTCAACTGTGCACAGCACTGCCAACATACTATGATCTGTGACAAAGCTGTATTTCTGCTGAAGCATGCATAGGAACCCCTCCTGCAAGTCACTTACCTACTGAGTCAAGCTGAACAACTACCATCCATGTGCTTTTTAATATGACTCTGAAGGTACTTGGTCATTCTTGTGAACTGATAAAACTGTTTATCAAAAATTGCTCTTAAAAGCAAGCCAGCTGCCAGGGCTGTTGATGGATTTAACATATTTCCTCTTTGCCTCCAAATCAATCTTCACCCTTCTACTGAAACAATATTATATCTCTGTTTGAAAATACTGGGGTTGAAGTTTCAATATGGGTAACTGTGCAAATCTTTTTCACTTTTGTCTCCTCAAATCCCACAGAAATGGGATAAGCAATGGGAAATAAGAAAGGACATCATCAATTCATCAGTTAACCACTAACTTTGAGGAATATCTGGAATTGTTTTAAAAGAAAAGGCAGTTAGTGTTGAACATTTAACACAGGCAAATGAAGGGAGACTGAGAGAAAATAAAAATTAAAAATCCCAGGTGCAGAGCAACAGGCAAGGATGGGGGACAGGGAGTGGAGTCAGTGGGGTCAAAATAAAAGGGACTGTAGGAACTATACCTCACAGAGCCCAGCATGAGGTGGGGAGGGCATGGTTTGACCCCAGACTCCACCTGGTTCTGACCACTCACACAGGAGAGTAGACAATATGCTGGTGCAGACTTCTGTGGTGGGTGATAGTGCTGGGGGACCAGGAAGGAGGAAACCTTGTCCCAGGTAATCCAGCTGCAAACATCAATCCCCACCCTCTCCAACACAAAACAGGCTCCACATAGCAGTGAAATCTCTTAATACGTTCTGCAGTCTAAATGGAGACAGAACTTCTTCTCTATATTCTGTTAATCACTTCAGCTCTGTCCTGACACAGACACTGCTAGGAGACCACCACCAGCAAAGGCTGGAGGAGGGGCACACTGGGAAGCCATAGGATTTAGGAATGTGATGAGATAACTGTATTATTAGACACTCTGCCCTATCACAGGGCTCCTCTCCAAGGGAGAAGCATAAATCCTAATCCTCAATGTTGGTCTTGGGCATACGACTTGCTCTGGGCAATGAAATACAAGTGAACATGGCCCATGTCACCTTGAAGCAAAGGTCCCTTGTGATCCCACCTTATGCATGAGAAAAAGAGCTCTCAGATAAAAGCTGATCTTCCAGCCTGACTGCCATAATGAGAAGACTTGTGGCATGAGCCCAAAGACCAAAACAAGGAGTAAACTTAAACATGACTGACAACCTGAGGCAAAGCTACAGCTGATCCACAGATCCATTAGCAAAACCTAAATATTTAGTGTATTAAGTCCCTAGAATTTTGAAGGGATGTTGGCACAGAAAAAAAAAAAATGGTAATTTATGTGATCATATAATTTACCGTCCAAAGCTGGGACACTTTTAGGAGAGAAAAGGGGTTATATTAATAATTACATGGGGATAAGATACTTAACCTAGGATTGTCCAGGCAAAATTAGGACGTAGGGTCATCATAAACTTAAGAACTCCATGTGATCTCTGAACTCATCAGCTTAGTACAACATGACCTCTTGGGATTCACTTGGCATAGTAGCATGCTAAGTAAATTGAAGTTCTGCGTCACTTTTACTAGTAACCACAGGACCCCGACCCAGTTTAAGAACAACTCCAGCTTGATAGTTGACTACAGCTCATGCACTCACAAAACAGCCTGCTCAGAAGTCCAGTCGTGGGGGATCCAGAAGAGCAGAGATCTTGTCTCTCTCAACACTGACTGCCAAGAATCTAAAAGAGTTCCTGGCACACAGTAGGCATTCAGTAAGTGATGAAGCCCACCTGAGGAGCCCTGTACCATGTGCTATGTCTACCTTGAATTACGGTTGTGTGGGTTGTGGCCCTTAAACTCTAGGGGGCACCAGTTACAGTCATAGTCATTATAGATTTTTGTGCATATTGTTATTTTTTAAATTGTGGCAAATGGCAGGAGTGGCTTTTTTATTTTTTTCTGATTTACACAAAGGTGCTGTGTGAGTTAGCAGTGGCCCAGAGAGAAATGCCACAGGAAACACCAGTGGTGACCTACACAGCCACACCAGACACCAAGCATAACTGTCTAGGCTTCTGTTTACAAATAGCCGAGTATGCCTTCTAGATGGTACATTTCTACCTTTCTCTTGTTTTTTCAGAAAGAGGTGCTAGAAAGCTACTTTGGTATCACTAAGGCTATACTTCCCACCTCAGACCCATGACCTCCAAAAACGGAGCGGGAGCATCAGCTTAGAATCACGAGATATTATTTCTTAAGTTAGGTGGTAGAAACATGACCATTTATTTTATTGTTAATTTTATATGTGTTCATGAGATTTATTATTGTCATTTATGGTATATCTCATTTTAAAAATTGAAAAATATATGACATTAAAAAAATCGTGACATAATTTTTGTAAAGAATAGGAATAGCATAATTAGTCCTTTTTCCCAAGAGTCGGGGTAATAGCCAGATAGTCCCTCAATGATGAAAAGAGGCAAATGGCAAACCAGTTCTGATCCAGATCCCTAGAAGTATGGCTGCTGTGGGGGTGATTGTGCATAAAACTATACCCAGAGCTGTCATGGAGTGTATTCTTCCCAGGAAAGGTGTGGCATAGGATGCCCTGTAATCATGCCTGTTTGTCAGAAACCTCTTCTACTGGCTATTAGCCCTAGCCATAAGACATGATGCATTGTAGCAACATCCCTAGCACACCACATAGAAGACACCCATGACACCTTGGACCCAGCAGACATTCCAGCTGGACACCTATAATACTAGAGGATTCCTGCAAGCATTAAAAAAAAAAAAAAAGTGGACGTGTTTTACAGTGACAGTGATTACTGGCCAAGAAGTAAAACATTTAAGCCCACATACTAACATGGATGAAAAAAATTGGTTGTCTTCCTAAACTGTGAAGGGCCAGGAAGAACACATAAGCAGACAAAAAAAAAAAAAAAAAGAAAAGTCATGGAAGAAATGGGCAAATCAACACCTCAAAAGAGGGTAACCAAGCTGAGCCATCAGAATAAATAGCCCCTGATATGAAACGAATTACAGTAATGCAAGAGGCAAATTAATTCATGTACTGAGATTTATAAAACAGCAACCAAGGGTGAGAATTATGACTGCAGCAGTAACCAGAAAAAAACACAATTGAGATCCAATCTGATCTAGAAGTAAAATAATGTGATTGGTGTAATAGAAGAAAAAATAAATAGAAAGCAAAGTCAAGGAACAGGTACCTGAATGTAGACCAAGAAAAACAAAACCAAACAAAACAAAGACTTGGGAAATTTAAATGAAAGATAGGATATGTAAAGTATTTATCCAGGAGGTCTAATATTTAAATTTTCCAGAAATGAGGGCAGAGAGAATGAGAGAATGAAGGTGAAAGATATCAAAGAAAAAAACGAAGTCCCCTGGAACTGAAGGACAACTT